TTTGAATAGTAGTTGAAATAATGCAAGTAGTATTTGCGTAGATATTAAAATAAAAATTGTATACATTTTTTTTTAATTTTTATAAGATATTTACAGTCTATTATTAATTAGAATAATAAGCAAATGAGAGGTGAGTAAATTATATGTGAATCTTTTGAGGGAAGAAGCCACCCATTAGTGACACTACCTGTTTTTAGTTTAATTATTATTTAAGTGTATATATATATTTTTATTATTTTTTTTTCTTAGTATAAATTAAAATGGAAAAATGGGAAAGTAGAAAATTGACGCTCCGGTGTACATTGTCATTGAGTAGGTCACTGTAATGAATGTGTTAAATTTGAATTCAATGATAAAGAATTACATACGAAAAAGGGTCCTAAGCGAAAACAGCTAATTTTTTATAAAAAATTATTCCTATTACTATTACTAATACTATTTATAGTAATACATGGTATGAATTATATTTAGAAGGCAATAGCATAAATATTAAACTGAATTCTTTAAAAATATTATTCTGTATATAAAATATAACAATATACCTACTCAAAAGTTTAAAATTTTCATTTTTGAATTACTAATAAATTACTAAAATCGTTAATCTTTGTTTAAAGATAACCATACAAATTTGAATTTAAAATGTATATAAAATAAATCAAGTTATAATAGGTTTAAATTTATACGTAACTTTTTATTCAACTTTAAAATATAAAATATATACTTACATATTTTAAGAATTTAATACAAAAATTATTTGATTCAGTTTTGAAGTATCTCGTCTATGTTAAATTGTCAATAAAGAGTAAGAACAGTAGAAATTTTTGGATTTCAATTTGAAAAATAAATATAACTATTTAAATAAAATAAAAACGTATTATTTTAATTTTAAAACCAATAAATTCCTATTTTTTTTTTTTTTTTTTTTTTTTTTGATAAAAGAAAAATTTAATAATAAACTATTTAACTTAAAAATAGTAATCATTTTGTAATGAATATAATGAATAAAAAAAAAATTTTTATTATTTAAAAAAAAGAATACGTTGTAATTTAATATTGAATTTGTTATTATTTTTATACAATATATCTAAATTATAAAATCTTTTTTTAAAGATAACATTATTAAAATAGCAATAAAATAAAATAAACACGAATGTTTAATTATTGCAACATACAATTATTGTTATCATGTTAATTTCAAAAAGTTGATGTCATGACTTTGAATTATAAAAACACCATGTGAGGATTATTAAATTAACAAACAAATAATGAGTAAACAAATTAACAAGTAGTATATTTCTAATACAATATGAAGCTGCAACTTATAGATACATACATTTAGTTTATTTACAACGTTGAGAACATTTTTGATTTAAAATTATACTAATAATATTTGATTAATTTCCATATCAAATAATATTAAAAAAACATTCCAATATATTAAAACATATTGAAAAAGTGGTACATTTGTAGAAATATTTTTTAATAATTTAAAAATATAACTGTTAGTAATATTATAGAGACATAGAGTAGTCATAATTTTCAATATTTTTTATTATCCCAATTAAATTGATATAATTAAAAAAAAAAAAATAAATAAATAAATTCAGAACATGATTAAACCTGTATTAATTACCTAGTAAATACTACAATACAAACTATATTATTTTATTATATACTACATTAAAGTATATTTTTATCTTAATTTTTTAAACAATAAATAAATAGGATAGGTGTAGATATATTATAGATACGAGAAAGTGGTCTAGAAAATTTTGTTTAAGTTTGGCTGTAAAAAGATTCAAAGAAAAAAAAAATCGATTTCTTTTCTTAACTTTCTTAATTAAATTATATTTTTAAAACAAAAGTAAATTACAAACTGATCGAGTTCGAAATCGCTTAAAGAAAATTGCACTTTAAAATCATGAGAAATGTTTCATAATATAAATTGTGTTCAAAACTTAATGTATCAATACCAAGATTTTTTTAGACTAGCCAATTTAATTTTGCTAACACACTGTGTAACTAGAAAATGTATTTTGGAAGTTGTGTCTCAAAATTCTTTTTTTTTAATAATTTTTTTTTTTTTTTTGATAGGGTATTCTTTTTATGTTTTTGCAAACAGTGATCTCTAGCCCTCGAAGCGTTTTGTTACATGCTGAAGGGTATAACAGTTTTCAGTTGATGGAGATATACTTGGGGTGGATTACGTAAGTTCAGACCTTAAACTTTGTAGATCAGCTGTGACGTGACTTTGAAAATTCATAGTTTTAGATACTCATATTATATAGATGCTTATTGAACTATCGTATTTAACTTTAAAGAAATCGTATGGTTTTGAAATTCAAAAAGTTTCTGTATCCTTCAAAGATAAATACCTAATAAATTTTCAATAAAATATGATACGTATATGTATATTATTCTTTGATTTTGAATTGTTTTAAAATTGAATTCAGACTTTAGGTATTTTATCCAATTATTATATGAATTTATTATATCCTGATCAAGCATTTTAAATATGATTTTATTCAAATAGGTAGTTCTTTTAATAAGAAGTGTTCAAGTGTATAGTGTTTCCAACTACAAAATTCGATTGTAATAGTTATTACTTATTATATACATAATAATATATTGAATACAATTCCATACTTTCTTTTTAAAATGTAACCATTTAGATGATCGGATTATGTATATATATATATAAACACAGAAATGATAAGTAATTAATATAATTGAAAAGAGGTATTATTTTCAAATACCTCGAAAGATACTCTTATTTTCATATTCTGCTAGGATTAGAAATTTTTTTATACCAAAGTATGTGCACGGAGTACGTAGTATATATATTTTCATAACTTGTGGGCTATGGGGCAGACATTTTTTTCAGATGGCGTATAACCAAAGTGTAAAAAAAATTTTTAAATGAATGAAAAATATATCATAGCTTTGGCTGGTATTTATAAATTATAACATGATTATGTTGCAAGAAAAATAAAATTATATTCTTTTCAATAAACTCATGTTTATAAAAATATATTTTTATTTTTCGACATAAAAGTAAAAAATTGGAAAACCTATTTTGTCTAATTAGAAGTTATTATAGTAAGAATATTAATCATAAATATTTTAAGACAATGGTATGGGTATGAACATTTATGTTTTTTGGGAGGACATTTAATTAGCTGCATATCCTCAGAGTTCAGACTAAAGTCTGTGCATGCTTTTTGTTTTACACATATGTACCTCAAGTTGATCATAATGTAGGCAATTTTTTAGAGTATTAAGTTTCTACTAAACATATTTAAGACTATGTATAATTTATACATTCAATTCAGTTAATCATTTAAGGAAACTGATAATTTATTTATTTTTTTTTAGTTTTTAATGTGTTTTTATCTAATCGGATTACATATAAAAAGCAAAAAATACATATAATTTGTATACGTGATAATTAAAAATAAATATACTGTTGATAACAATGAAAACAATTGAACATTAAAAACTAGAATTAATTGTTAAATTTATTTCAATATTTCGTGAGTAATATAATTTATTGTATACATATTTAAGCACCACTTAGACTCAAATAGTTTACTGAAGAAATTATTTTTCGTCAATTAAAATTTATTAATAACACAATAATAGATTTAGTAAAATTTATTTTCTATTATACTTAATGATAAAAAATACTAATAAAAATGTAGAAACTGTAAAAAATAACGAATTTTAATATTTGCTGTTATTAATGAATAGAGTAGTTAATTGTATACAAATCATAAATGTAATCATCATCGGAAAACTATATTTTTTTTTATCTAAGAGATTTCAAAAATAAGAAAAGTAATAATTTTTTTACGATCTATATAACGTCATAAAACTATAAAATTATAAAATTATATCGATCTTGATTTTTAGCTAACGTTTTGATTTGATAAAAGATATGTGTGCTTTTGATTAAGTAATCTGATTTTGTATCTGCACTCCATAATCAACTGAAGTAAGAACTAAAATATGTACAAGAGTTATTACTTGTTTAGGAACTTGTGATATTAAATATTGTATTTCCTTTTATTTTCAGATTTTTTTGGTCAATTTGGTTATTTTCATTGCCGAGGTTCATCACTTCCAGATTATTTAACAGTACATCTAGGTTTATCAATCAAAAAACATAATATGTGTTCGTGGTTTCGTTGCAACGGAAATCACGTACCTTATGCTTAAGGTTTCAAAGGAAAACTGAGAATGAAATTTATTTCAATAATTGTTCTTCAGGATTTTTATATGGTATTGTTTTAGAATACATATGTGATAATTCAATTATATACATAATGTTATAAAAGTGTACAATATCTACACATATTATTATGGGAGTTGAAATGGAGGTCAACTTTTCGGAAAAATAAACATTTACTTATGGTATGATTTCGTATACATAATATACAATTATATTTATTTATTATAAATATAGAACCTTGTCTTAAGATAATTGTATTTTAATCACACCAGTGGTGCCTACGTATGAAAAAAAAAGGGTACAAAAAAAAAAAGTATTGCGTGCGCACATTTTACAAAACGTATATTATTATGTATAACGCACGTTTCATAGTTATGTAAATAATATCACGCGAGCGCGTGTGTGTGTCTTAGCGCATACCACGTGTGCAGTATTGTTATCTCGAACTGGCGGTGATCTATACAAGCCGTTTGCTCTTGTCCTCATTACTCTCTTTGATCTGCAATTACTTAACTTCTCCCCCCCCCCCCACACACACACACAAACACACATATAAACAAACATACTATAGTGCCTCTGATAAAAAAACAAAAAATAAAATAAAAAATCCATCGATTTATATACATCAATAGACGACGACGATGACGACATCATCGTTGTTAATAATAATGACGAAAATAATAAAAATAATATCGATATAATTTTATAATATATTACGAGCGCAAAGTCGTCGAGATCAAGGGCTGAGTCCCGACTCTCTTCTCGATATTTATGTCACTGCTATTACGAGCATGGCTGCTACGGCGATCAGTGCGTAGCCCATATTCAGTAGCGGATTCGTGTTATTAGTTTGTTTGGACGATCCATTGTCGGACAACACGCTACTGGCCAGCACTATAGCCGCTCCGCTTTTGGCACCACCTGTCGCTACCGTTCTGGTCACGGCGTTTGTGTCCACCGAGCAGCCCTGGAGTCGGAAAAAAATATAAAATTAAAACATAAACAACGAAACGTATCTAGACCATTTGTGCTAAAAACAATTTTTTTTTGTTTTTGAATACGTAACGCTTTTTTGTAAAACTTTCATATTCATTTTTTTTTTTTTTTGAAATTTTCCTTTCCCATAATTATCGCATAACACACCATGCTTCATTAACGTTTTATATAAACATCGAGTTGGTTGGCAAACCAAAAACACTATCAATTTTTTGTAATAGAAATCTATATCGGCTATACTTAATTTGTAACACCAGATGTATGGTATAGAGCTTTAATCAATTAAGTACAAACTACCAGTACAAATTAATAACTAAAAAAGGGCAATTTTGTGTATTTTAAATTTTTCGAGACTAAAATTTTTAAAAATGCTGGTAATTTTCAAAATGATGTGTATCTAATTCACTGTTAAAAATTAGAATGTATATAATTTTAAGTATGTTGAGTTCACAACACAAAGCATTAAAGCATTATTGAAACAATTTTTCTCAGTTAGTATGATAGGTATTGTATATTTTTATAATTTTATCTGATAGTTGAAATGCCGTGTTATATTGTTGAATAATATTTCAAACATTTGTATTCGTTATGTACAAATTTGTTTTTATTTTCTATGTATTTATAAATAATGTATGACTTGTGGATATATTCTATAATTGACTAGTGGCAACACTATTTGAGTTATATATAATACAATATTATTGTTCAGTAATTAATATTTAGATAGGTATTTAGATTTTTACAATAAGAAATTTAAAAAAAAGTTTACTGTTTAAAAAATAGTTTACCTAAATATCTAAAATCAGTAAGTTAAACATAATAAGAAATTTAAGGTTTATGTAAGATAATACAAGGTAGTATAAAATATAATATATACCTACCTATATTTTAGGTAAGTACTCATTTAAAATATTTTAATTTTCAAGGAGAGTAATCCATATTTACACATTATTATTATAATAAAACTAAGCTTATTATTTTTATGTTTATGTTATACATTATATAGAAATATATTGGCCTACTAAAGTTTACCGTTTTCTTGGATTAAAGTTAAATAAGAGAACGTGATAAAATGGAGGACCACCCTTTCATAGAAAAGAAAAATTAAAACAACTAAACTCTTCAAACACCTCACACGAAATATTACGGTTGGAAAATTGTATGTGCTTAGTATAACAACGCGTCTTTAATACAAGCCATAACACAAATGAAATGTATAATAATTATTATTTTCATGACGAATAATTTGTAATTACTGTGAGGCATTTAACTTGAGTTTTTTTTAACGCAACAAAACGGTTCACCGAGTTGAATATATGCTATTATAATACAGATATATAATTTAGATTGTTATAGTAATGATTAATGAATAACATATATCTATTTACGGTGAATTCTGAGCACCTTTTCAATTGAGGTTGAAATTTGAAATACGCGCTACTTGTTTATTTGACCGTGTAGGTAGTTTATCCGTTTTAATATTCAATTCCAGTGACCTTCAGTCGAGTTCTATAAAACTCGATTACCGTAATGTGGTGCAGATTACGGTTCATATACAACGTATAAAATCATATTTAATTATCTAATGCAAGATAATTAGATACACGGGTTTAATGTCGAATTTTGAATGATATTCGACGAGAGTACTAATTACATTGATTTTAATATTATGCGTTTAAAGTAGCAAATTAGTAACGTTTTTGGCTAGTTATTTCTAAATAAAAAAAAAAAAAATAAATAAAATAAAATAATATTGAACAATGAGTTTACTTTTAGTTTGTTGATAATAAGTTTAACAATAAACCACTAGTAAATTTCCAAATTATTATAATTATACTCATATTTTTGTTTAAAAACAATTGACCGTAGATCGCTAGGTTAATATATTTTAATTTTTTGAGTTATTTATAGATAGTGTTTTCATTATTCACATTATTTTACTGAACGTAAATGTTGACAATTGTTATTATTTCTCAAAATCACTTAAAATAATAAAATAAGTTTATAAATAATGATTTAAAATTTGACAATATACTTTTTCCATTTAGTAGTGGTAAAATTATTCAATAAATTATTTTTTATTTAATTAGTTCAAAGGTAAAACCTGCTTATAATTTATATTTTCGATTATTTAAAGGCAATTATTTCATAATTTCAATATATTTTTAAATTAAATTTATATTTTCTTTAACGTTATGCCAAACTTAATAAGATAAGATTACTTTATCATAATTATTATATTCCTTATTATGATGTTCCATTAGATAATAATTTATAATCTAAAAAACAAACTATTTACGTGACCACGTAAGTTTATGTTCCCATCATATATTTATATACAAACGTGCAAGTCTAAATCTATGATTAATAAAATAGATAATCTTGGAATATTTTGTTTGTCGATAAATTAAACTTCACGAAGTAGACCATTGTTTCTCAATTGTTTTCTGTTTTGCGATTTTTGTGCTATACATAGTGGTAGCATCTTTAGAAGTACTAATAGTTTGTATTCTGTAGGTAATTACATATTATTTACTAAGTATATAATAAGTAAGAAATTTTTAAAAATCATGTAGAATCCAATAATAAAAGTCAGGTAAGTAGATAACGCTTTGTTTTATACTAGATGTCGAGTATATTACGTCATTGAGGATTGAAAAGATCACAGAAATGGATGTGTTGAATTATAACTCAACAGTGAATCATACAAAAAAACAATTCTGTGTGGAGATAGTCCTACACTTTACTAATTATTACTGAGTATATTTTATTATACATATTTTATATTGTTATTACAGTAATGTATTTTACTAATTTTAGTTATATCATATAACTTATAAGCTTATATGATAAGTTAAATTCAATGTTCGCCGAAAACATTGCGTTTATTAATATAATATTTATTTATGTAATTTATTATTATTAGGTAATTTTTTATTTTTTAGTTAATAATAAATATCGTAAAATGGCATGATAGGTTATTAGTATAAGTAAAAAATAGCTTAAGCCTAATTTGTATATTTAAAAAAATTAATTCTATGTTGTAAAACATTATAATATAATAAATTATTATATATTATGATTAATAATATATAAAAATTGAGCAATTTAAAGTCTCCATGAACAATATTTTTAAATGACAAGAAATAACTTTAATAGTTATTAATAGCTTAAAATGAGCCAAAATGTTTAAAATTTATAAAATGCATATAAAAATAATGATATAACAATTTAATAAACTATCAAGTATATTATGGACATTTGTTTTTTAATTGCAACAACATATCAAAATAAATTTTATTAAAAACTAGTTTTTTATACAAATTTTTATTTTTCCCATTTATTTAAAAAAGAACTTGGAAATTATTAATTTTGATTTCCCAAAATACTAACTAGATAAATTTTTTTGTCGAAAAAAATATTGAAGTGAAAGAATGAAGCATTTTTCAATTATAAAAAGTATTTTCAGTCATAGAATTTTTTTTTAAAATCACACGATATTTAAAAATAGATTTCTTATACTCGGAATTTAAGCTAAAAATTAAAATTTTTAATTTTATAATGATGTCCTCAATGTGAAAGTTGTATAGAAAACAATATTATAAATTATGACAATGGGGGAAGGTGAAACAATTATCTTTAAAATTATATAAAGAACAATAGTTGAAGTCATTAAGAGATAAATATTTTTTTTAAACAATAATGTATAAATGAATTCCATGTTAAAAAAATTATACTAAAAATATGAAATATTTTGATTTTAAAAGTTATAAAAAATAGAAACAAAACAAAATATCTACTAGTATTATCAGTTGATTTATATCATAAAAATCAATCTAATTCTATATATGAAATTAAAAAAGATTACTTAGCTTAATGCTATCAATAATAATATAATTTGATTCTATTTTGCCTAAAATATAAATGTTAAAAATAGTTAATTACTCCAATAAAATTGAAAAAAACATTATTAATGTCAATAAAACATGACTTATATTAATATTATAATTGGTACATTTTATATTACTGACACTGAGAATTATCATAACATAATAAATAACGTAAATAGAAATATTAAATTTATAAACAAAATATTATATAAATTTCGTGTTTTTTTTTTTTATAAATTTTGAAAATAGACTTGAGAAAAAAATATAAATAAAAAAAACAGTATCTACATAAAACGTACTCATTGTAAATTATAATACCCGTAGACCACAGTTACCTTATTTACATTTTATGAAGCTTATTTTTTTGAAGAAAAATCGTCGTTCTTAACGCGTCTTTTTTTTGTTGCCATTTTATCGTATAAACTAGAAAAATTATATTTTTCATTCCATAAGTATTAAAAATGACGATACTTCTGTGTTATATTATTATTATAAAAAGTAGAAATATAAATTAAGAGATTAAAAATATACACGATTAATGCTTAACAAAAGCAATAATCTTAACTTTCTGTTAAAAGAAAATGTTAGCTTAAATTTTGAGTTAATGTTCAAATCAAGTTATTATCTAGTCATTTTTGCTCAGAATTTAATAGAAAAAGTTTAATCTATCTATTTTTGGTAAAAGGAAGGGTGAGAAAATGTTAAAATTTGTAATAATGGTAAAATTTATAGTAGAAATCCATGCATATATACTATATAATTATTTAATGCAATGAATAATCGCTTTTTGATTCAAAAATAATTAACGACTGCCTTTTAGGCTTTTAGAGGAGTATTGATCTGCTTCAAATGTAAGCACTAAAAAAATGAATCCCATCAGATAGGTTAGGTACCTGTACATATACGATAAAATCATCTAACACCATATTTTATTATTATGCATTCTATAAATATATCACACCATAAATGTTTTTATGTTAACTTACTAAAAACCATAATATTGAGAATAAAATATAAGCTTTTATTTACTTATAGTTTATGTGCAATTATTGAATAAATGTTATATTAATTCCTTAAAAAG